CCGCCCCCCACCCGACGCCCGGGCTGCCCCGGGGCGCCCCGCGTTCCCGAATCACCTTCCCTGGGTGAGAACTGGGGCTCCGTCGTGGACTGATCGGGTCATTCGAGGGCACGCTGCCTCCCTGTGGACCCAGGGGTACGGGGTGCCGGGGGGGGTCACGGCCCGGGGTGGGACCCCCCAACGTGAACACGTGCACCGACGACGTTAGGGTCCTGCCTGCCCCCCTCCGCCGGACCCGGCCAGCGCTGCACCTGTCGGCGCGAACGCCCGTCAGCCCGGTGGCGCCCAGTGGGAGGCGGGGGCCGGGGGGGGGGTGGAGGGATTCCTGCCTTAAAACCCAGCCCCGGGGCGAACCCGCGGCAGCCTGCACGAGTGAATGAATGAATGAGCGCGCGCGGGGCTTGAGATGGTGCCCGCACCCAAGCCGCTTTTCCTTTTCTTCCCTGCCAAGCCCAGGTGGTGGTTGTTGTTGTTGTTATTATTATTATTAATCTGGCCCCAAGTGGTGGACCTTCGGACACTGAGATAACGCTCCGAGGCGAGGGTCCGCCCAGGGACTGTCCCCTGGCCACCTCCACACCTGTCACTTGTGTCCCAGGCCCCGCCCCGGAGATGCCGCTCCCGCCCCTGCGAGTCGGCCTTCTCCCCGCCAGGCTCCCGGGGAATGCGGGGTTTCGCGGCGGCCGGTTTTCCCGCGTCCCTGCTGGTGCCCTGGGATCCCGGTCTCTGGGAGGCGAAGGCTTCCCTTTGCATCCTTCCGCGTTGGACGCGGCCCAGGCGGCTCCCGTACCGGCTGGGAGAGCAAGAGCTTCCAGAGCTGGATTGCAGAGAGCAGCAAATTTCTGCCTTCTTTTCCCAGGGTGCTTTGTTACGAGGTTTACGGCGGCGAGGAAAGCAATTGAACATATGCGATCACCCCTACATATTTGGGGGAGAACTTGGGGGTCACTTTTCTTTAGCGAGTATTATGTGAAATACTTGTACGTACGGAGCATCACCTAGGTTCTGTGCCCCTAGGACACAGGAAGAGATGGATCATTAGGAATAATTCTGCATTATTCCCAACATCTCCAGTCAGTAAAGATTGTTAGATATTAAAAGTATTTTTTAACTAAGTAGTTGTACAAAGGAGTTGCCATTCGGCAAGGCAGTCTGTGAATATGATGTGTTTTGGCCAATGTTGCCCCTTTCAACATTCTCATCCCCCTCTTACAATCCACCCCTTCCCCCACTTTTCTTAATTTTTGGGTTATGTACTGGAATTTTTTTTATATTTTTAAACATAATTTTCTTATTCCTTTGAAGGTCACTTAATTTTTTGGTTCAAACATTTTATTGATTTCAGTTAATTGTTTACTTTTCATTGTAAATTATAGTGACACTATAATGCATTGATGAAAAACCCCCCTCAAATTATCCATTAACCTATGTAGTATATTTCTTTAAACTTTCCTTCAGTTTCTTCTGGTATTTGTCTGTTGGGCATTTATTACTCAGTTGAAATTTATTCTCTGTGTTGTTAGTGCAATTATTGTTTTCCATCTCTGTTCAAAATTCTAACTTGTATAGGACAATTATATATATATATATATACTACATACACCATATGTATTATATGTGCCATATGTATTATATGCATTGTATATATAGATAAATATTTAACTTCTAAATTGTTGAATTAGGACTATCATTTGTCTTCAGAGAATCAAAGTGATACATTTTTTTGTGGGTCTTCATCTTCTTGACTAGACTGTTTTAAAACAACTTTTTGTGCTATAACTTTTCTGAAACAAGCATCTGAAACCTAACCTTCTGTTACCAAGCATTATTTTCTCTGTACCTCATTCAGTGCTCAGATTGGCTGCAGATTGATATTTTAACTCTTTCTTTTGCTGTGTTTTTCTTCTATGAATTCATCCTCCCTTCTTAATTGTATTTTCATTTAAAACTGTGCCCTTTCTGCTGCTCCTTCCTGCTGGTTTTAATTCTGGGTATTTTTGTGTGCACTGATGAAGCAATAGACAACAGTACTGGAATGATCACAATACTGGAATGATCACAGTATTGGAATGATCACTGGTTTTTGGTTTTTTTTTGGAGAAATTTAGCTTTTTCCTCCATGTTTCTGTTCTTTCTCTGACTCATGTTTATTACACATTTTCTTTTTTTAAGCTTATTTTTATTTTTTATTGTGAAAATACCGTACAGAGGGGTTACAATTACATGGGCAAGATAACGAGTACATTTCTTATCAAGCATTGTTGCTTCTCCTTTGTTTCCCCCTCCCATCCCTTCCCATTATTCCCCCCCCCTACACATTTTCTTTAGACTATTGAAGCAGACATTTTTTGGTGTCGTATCAGTGTTAGTAATTTGGTTAAAAAATGCTAGTAGTTTTCCAAACATCATGTTTATGTATGTATACACATACGTTAAATAAAATGCTTCAGCTATGCTGTATGCTAGCTGGTTGTTTAAGAAGGACATTTACATTGTACCTTATGAAAAATTAATTATAAAAGTTGGCACTAAGTGTAGATACTTGAAGAGAAGCCTCCCACTGATTCAGTTGATTCTGTGAAATTTTTATAGTGCGATCTCAGGAGATGATATAATAAAAATACTACTGGATAGCTAGTATTTTTGATTATTACTCTATTATAATTGAAAATCCTGTGATTTTTGAGGCTTAATATTGGCCTCAAATGTTTGAGTGTAGGGCTTTAAATTTCTGGAAGTCCTATTGCCAAGAGAAGAACTTTGAGATTTTTCTGAGTATTAACAAAAATACTAAAATTTAAATTCTTAAGGGAAGATTACCTCAAATGATGTTATTGGTATCTTAAAGTTCTGTGATTAAAAATATTTCTATTATCTATCTATGGCAGTATGAACTACTTATAATAGTGTAAGTAGTGATAGTTATTCATTGGTAGAATTCTGAGCCTCTTCACAGGTGATTTAGTGCTGTTACAATAAGCTCATAGTATAATTAAGTCTAACTGAAATCCAGGAAGTCCTTACCTTTTTGTTCTGATCTCTCTGTCTCTTTTGATACTGTTATATGATTCAAAGACATATTACCTGGAGCAAATTTATATCTGAATGCCTAGTAGAAGAACATCTTCCATGTAGTAGTGCTCAATAAACACTAGATGACATTTCTCACAGGAATTTATGACAAATACTTAAATAATCAAAGAATTGGGCTTAGGTGTGCAAATTGTCATTTGTGTGAAAAACATGGTTCTGTGTAAACGCAATTTTGAGTCAATGCTGTTAAAAGGAATTGAAATTGGGGCGAGCTTTTCTTGTGCACTGCTATCCTTACACCACAACTGACTGTAATGAACCAGCTTGGAAATTTTATATTAGTTTTCACAATTGGAATAGTGGACATCTAATTGTAACTTTAAAAATAACTAAATCTTACAATTGAAGATTATAAAAATGTAGCAAGCTTGCCTTTCTCTCTGGATAGTTTTCAAGTAACAATAGTACATTTAAAATGCTTGGGAACTCTGACATATGGAGTTATTTCAGTTGATACCAGAATGGTTAGTCTTTTGCTTTGATAAGAAATGGTATTCTGTTAGAAAACTCTAGAGTTCTTAAAGGAAACTTTTAGTTACTATTTTAAAAAAAGTAGATGACAATCTGTTTTGGTTATTATATCTTACAGCTTTCTGCATTACGTCCTTGGATAAATGCCATCTTGCCTAATTCATAATAATCCTTCAGAATATTAGCTTCTTTGTTTCAATGATGCATATTATTAGGGTCATTCTACATAGTTATTTTTATTTATCATCCCTAATACAGAGAAAATGAGATCATAGGGATGCTTTTCTTGTAGGGCAAAAGAAATTCTATAAGCAGCTTTCCTTCTTTGATGAATGCTGCTGCTGCTTATTAGCTGAGGGCACAGCTACCCTCAGAATATTCAGTCTTCAAAGTGAAACTCAAATTCTCTGCACTTTTTATTGAAGTGATATGTAAACTTCACATCTTTAGTAGTGTCACTGTGTTTTCTATTGATAATTTTCAAAATCTAATTTCCATCAGGGTGAAGGAGCTTGATGAAGAGGGAATCTAAAGAGCTTTAGCTGATTAATTGGTTGTTTCCACTGCTCGCTGCTTGCACGTTTACCTGCTGATATTAATTCCCTCCTCCCCTTGCAAGCGTGGCTAACAGTTATTTGTTGGATTACTCTAAGTAAAATTGTAAGGGTTATTTAATATGATTTAGTAGTGGACTTACATGTGCATTTCTTAAATTAATTTTGGTATTCCATGCATCAATTTTTTTAGACCTCCTTAGCTACGTGTTTTGCTCAAGAAACTTTTGGGAAACAGTACAAACAAACTATAGGACTGGATTTCTTTATGAGAAGGATAACATTGCAAGGTAAGAGATTAAAAAGTCTTAACATGGGAAACTGTATAAATCTTACAATAAGAAGCATATGGCAGAAATGTGTAAAGTCAGTTCCAGGGCTGCTTCTCTTGGAAATATATGTAATCAGTAAATATCCCAGGAGGTTAATGTATGTCAATGTCTGCCATGAATATGAAGGCATAGTGTCCGTGGGTGAGAAAAAGTTTATATGTTCTGCTGCTGCTCCCTGTTTTTGGCCACTCTACATTTTTTGAGGATAAACAATAGTTGCATACAGAATTTGAAAGGCTTTTACAGAATTAAATGTTATATATTTGTTAACATACTCTATTAACTAAATGTGAAAAGATTGAGAAGAGTTATTTTTTAAAATATTATTTTGATAAGCTTCTGCTTCAGTTTTTTTGTTTGAAAGTTGGAACAGAAGTATAATGTAGCTATGGAACTTCTGTGCTCTAATATGTGAATGCTGTTTTATGCAAGGCAGCATGAAATTGCTGGCATTTAATAGACCACTAAAATTTAGGGTCCCTAGGCACTCATAAAAATACAGTTTGAGCATTCAAGATGTTTCAGTTCACCATGCAAAGAAACTATTTAGATGCCAGTTGAAGCACATTTAGTGGGAAATACAGGGAAATAATAACACAAAACGAGTGGTTTATGTTTTAAGTTAGTTTCTGAACAATTGGGGCTTTAAAATGCTCTGTTCAGTCAATTTCAGTGGTTAAATTTTATGATTAAAGTATTTTATTAAAAACAATTTATCTTGATTGACTTTTTAAATGATCTAACCTTTCCTTCATAAAGAAAAATACATTTGTATGACATGGTTGCAAGTATAATTTCAGATTCAGATATTGGAACGTGAGTAATACAGTAGAAGAGGTTTGACAGATTGAGTATTATCAAAATATGGTAACTTCTCCAACACCCCATTGATTGTATGACTCCCCATGAAAGTTACAGAACAGCTTTGGAAAACTTGGTAATTGGAGGTAGTCTTCATATCTCATTGCTGATATACTCAATTACCTTTTATGATGCTTTGTATTTGGCTCTCAAAAGTGGATTAGAAGATACAGCATGAGAAAAATTCTTATTTTTTCATTACTTAGTTATTGTTCAGCAAAAGGTTTAATGAGTTGCATATGCACATTCCATCTATATTTTATTTTCATGTATTTGAGCCTAACATGTTTAATTGCATTAATTTTATTTTTATGAAAAAATTAAACAGAACACTTAAAAGTAGTCATGAGTGAGTGCGTGTACCATCATGTAACATACATGCTGAAAACTAATTTGTGCAAGTTTTTTTTCCAGAGGTGATAGTTGTTTGTAGAGAACCACATTCTAGTTATTACTAGCTATTTTCTTTTGATGTTTAATTAACAAAAGCATCAAAACATCAACTTATTGTTTCGTTATTCTTGTTTATTTTCCTTACTTTTTTTTTTAGTTAAAGGGCTTACAAGAACAAACAATATTGTCAACAAGACTGGTTTGGACATATGTATATGGTATTTGTAGTGATTCCTGACCTGTTGCATAGGACTACCGTTTTAAAATTTTAATTACTTGGTGAAAAAAATTGGTATTCTTGCAATCCAAATTTGCAGTATAATATGTAGACTAGGTAAATTTAAAAGATGATGTTAGGGAATGTGCATTCTTTTTAAAAAAATTTATTTTATAGTAAAGATGTTGTACACAGGGGTCACAGTTACATGAGTAAGGTAATGAGCACATTTCTTGTCCAGCATTGTTACCCCCTCCTTTGTTGTTCTCCCACTATCCCTTCCTTCCCCCACCACCCTTAGTTCCCCACCCCCTCCCGAAGTTGTAAAGTTCATTTCCAATATACTGTCTTGTGGCTATCATTGTTGCATTGGGTCATCCTGTGTTCTTGTTTCAGCGTTTTGTTATTTCCCTTCCCCTCCCCAAATGAGATAAATGTATATACAAGATACAGGATAGCAAAATCAAGTACAGTGACAACAGGCGATATACCATAGGGGGAAGAACATACAAAGGAAACAAAAAAAATCACATAGTACATTAAAAACAACAACAACTACAAAGAAAGATCACTTGTGTCCCTATCTTGGAGTTCATTTTGCTTAGCATCATCTTATATGGTCATATGTACATAGCTTTTGAGCTTTCTGCTCACCTGATAAAATTATCCTAGACATATACTAATTGTTGCAAATGAGAGAAACTATGGGATTTATATTTTTTTGGGTCTGGCTTACTTCACTTAATATGATTTTTTTTCCAAGTCTGGGAATGTGCATTATTAATATTTAATTTTTCTTAATTTTCTCTTGATGATCATAGTTCCAGAAAATATTCTGTATTTTCAAACTGCAGTTGTTTTCGTGCTAGTTAATGAACTAAAAAAAAGGTAGAAAGTTCAGTAAGAAAAAATTATCATAGTGTATCTTGACCTTAAATAATTAGTAGGTATGTTAAAAAATGATACGCATAAATTACAAGATTACTTTATGTGCTTTAACATTAATTTTAAATCATTCTGTCAAATGTAGGATGGTTGGTAGTTGTGTTATTTGCTAAGTAAAACAGTAAGACAACATTATTGAATTTATAGTGAAATATCACAGTGTATTAACAGAATAGTTCTAGTTTAGTGAGTCTTATAATGAAATATCACAGTGTATTAACAGAATAGTTCTAGTTTAGTAAGTCTTCTGGCCAGATTGTTAGGTGTGGAAACCTTCTGCCCATCTATTCACATTCTCTTCATGCAAGTTTTCAAGGTCATTACTTTGCAAATACTCATCCATTTTGGTGTATTTCATGATCCGGCATGGTGTATAGTCTGGATGCAACCACTGTGAAGATTTTCCTGCTTAAAATAGTGTATCTGTTAGTCAGAGCTTCTGCTGATAGAGCTTCTTAAGAGCCTTAGTCAAAATACTTTCAGGAAGCTTGTGGGTACAGTCCAGTAAACAGCGTTCTACTGTGAAAGGGAATTCTAAGTCTTCAGTACAAGAAGTGGGTAGTCTTGTGTTTTTAGTTCCATCTTTACTATGCAGCACTTTAAGTAAGGTTAACCAAGGCACCACGTGTACTTTTACAAGGTCACTTTTGAATCCTTTTGGTGGCTTTGATTCATACAAGAACAGCTTTCTATATTTTATCCTTTTTTTTTCCCTAATTACTTGCCTTTTTTTTTTTTTTTACACAGAGGAGCAGGGATTTTTAAAGCATTTTGTGTTTGGGATTAGGTTGTTATCTAGTTGTTAGAAATTTGTGTTAGATGGAATCTTGATTTTAAAAATGTAATATTGAAAAAAATGTAATATTGATTATATGAATAACCTTCTGTGTAATCAAATTGGAAGATTTCATGTTTATATTTACAGAAAATAAAATCAGAATCGCTTTCAGTTACATCTTTATTTCTCAATCCTCATTTAAGTTTTATATGTTAATAAGCTTAACTGTAGAAGTTAAAATCTATATCTTGGTATATGAAATACCTATGAAGTTAATATCACTTGATGGAGGTATAATGATAGCAAATGTCTTCGTTAGTGTTTTAGAAAAGTATATATTTGTGATAATTCTAGTGACTTTTTTAAGTCATTAGAACTTGTATCCTAAAAAAAAACTCAACAAAAATATTCAGGCAAATATCAAACATTGTTTGGAAAGGTGTAGATTTAAAAATGAATATAAATATCCTGTGTTGAACATAATTGCGTGAACTATGGTCTTGAAACTGTTGTAGAAAACTTGGGAGCATTTAATAAAGAACATGCTCTTAAATTTATAGTTGAAACATTCACAATGCCCAATTCAGATCAGTTCCAAATATTAGAATCCAATGAAAGAAAAGTAAAGGCAAAAAAATTCCTTTTATCTTGATGTGAGATTAAGAAGTAGGTATTATTGACTATGAAGAAAAGGATTACAGTGCTACATAAAATGTAATTATGAGTTAGTATTGTTAAACACTTTTTTTTTTTTTTGTCTTTTGGTCGTGGGGCTTGAGCTCTGGGCCTGGGCACTGTCCCTCAGCTCTTCAGCTCAAGGTGAGCGCTCTACCACTTGAGCCACAGCGCCACTTCTGGCCTTTTCTGCTTATGTGGTGCTGAGGAATCAAACCCAGGGCCTGGAATCAAACTCAGGGCCTCGTGCATGCAAGGCAAGCACTCTACCACTGAGGCACTTTTCCAGCCCCTAAACACTGTCTTTTGAAGAGTGACTTCAAATGATTGTAGAGCTTTCTGTATGTAAAATGAATAGGTCCTTTCCTTCCTGATTATCTATAGGTTTCTGAAACTTTCATGTATCTCTACTGATAGCTCCTTACCTGATTAGAGATGATACAGGATAATGACTTCTGCTTTGCATCTTACAGAACTGGATAAATTTTAACCTGTGGCAGTTTGTTTTTCATATTCACACAGCTTTAAGACTATTTTGTTCATTACTCTGAGCATGGGAAATGTGTGTCTGTGGGAATGAGGCCAGGTGATAAACTTCAGTAGCTGTCATTGGTGAGAGCCCATAGTTAGTTGTCTGCTCAGTGGCAGATGCAGCAAGCGTATATCCAGTAATGGAAAGACTATCATACAACAAACCTACCCAAACAGACTTCAAGATAAACTTTGCCGGTGAATCCAGTAGTATACTTTCTGTTCAGTTTTGTAGTTAAATGATAGTGCATTCTCTGATCTTAGTGTTTTATAGTGGCGTAAAAATCATGTCTTGGGGGGGAAGTGGGGGGAGAGATAGGAGGGCAGGGATGGTAAGAGGAAACAAAGGGGGAGGCAACAATGCTTGATAAGAAATGTACTCATTACCTTGCTCATGTAACTGTAATTCCTCTGTACAGTATTTTCACAATAAAAAAACTTATTAATAGGAAAACAAATCATGTCGTTCTTTTTTGTTTTTGAAGTAAGTAGGTTTCTAAGTTTTAATTTTAGATATTCCTGATTGGCAAATCATTCAGTAGTTGAGAGTTTAGACAAAGCTATAATCTTTTGAGGAGATATGGTTCAAAATGTTAAATGGACATGGACTTTGATATGTAGCCCAGTCATAGGAGAGGACTTGGCATACATTTTTATTTAACCCCAAAATTTTGTAAAATGCACAAATTAATTTTAAGGATTGCCTTTCAATGTTCTAGTATGCTTTTATAAAGCTTATATAGGGAAGAATATTAATTATGTGATGAGGTTTGGAACACATATTGTTTGTTTCTATGCACATTCTTTGACCAGATATGAATCATAACATTTAGAGAAATTCTGGGTCTGTGTATCCAATTTTAGTTCTGAATAGGGATATCAGATATGTTTATATTTTAGAGGTTAAATTTACAAGCATGTAATTTCTGATTAAGATTACATGTAATAGCAGGTACGTAAATAAATAATCTGTTTATTCTGTGAGTTTTAGAATGTACAGAGTTTAGAACAGACAGCAGTGTATGAGGCTCCAATTTTTATTTCTAAAATGTTTCTTATGTCTTACACATGTGTTTTATTCTCTGGGGCTTTTTTCCATAAAGCTTAAGCTTATAAATTAAAGCTTTATTTTCTCTTGTTTTGAAGGTAATTATAAATATGGTTCCATAGAAATGGACGAAAGGAATAAAGCTAGTTCTATACTGTGATTTTTGACATTTTCACAATTCAAATATGTGATCATGTATATTTTCAGAATAAAAGGCAAATTAATTTATCATTGTGACTTAATGTTCTATGAAACCATGTTCACTGGTTTTACTTAATTTTTTAATTTTAATTTTACATTCTCTTATATTCTAGGAAATCTGAATGTTACTCTTCAAGTTTGGGACATAGGAGGGCAGACAATAGGAGGCAAGATGTTGGATAAATATATCTACGGAGCACAGGTATGATATGAGCTCTGTTGTTATTTTAATATTGATGATGTCCTGCTTATGGACACATGTGTGGGTACACATACGTTTCTAATTTGATTTTTATGTGACCTGTAGAGAGATTAATTTTGCATTTATGGCAGTTCTTCTAGTTTCATCTTTCCTAGGTGTTTGGAAGGATTTGAGTGAGAGAAATGGTGACATTAACTATTGGGAATGGGAAAACCTTTCACAGCCCTCACATACTGCTTGCATTGGTAGATGTTATTGTCAGTAGTAGGATAAAAGCAATGATAATTTTTTTTACATTATGAGCTTATTTGGCTATAGTGACTACTATCATAAACTGAAAAATACTGAAGGAGAAAATTTCAATTTTCACTTGGAAGGACAGAAGGTATATCTGTGTGTCTATACATTTGGCATATGAATTAAGCTAAGTAATTTTAGCTTTTTAGATTTGTAGACAATAATACTTCATATCAGATAAGTATGACTATATGTTGGAGCACATATAATAGTTTCATAGGATAATGATGTATTTAAGAAGAAAATTTATGTAAAGTGAGAAAGTCACCTGAATAAAAGAATTTGCTGGAAAACTGAGATTGTAATAGACATAATTTGTTTTCTTAAACAAAATTACGCAAATTAAACTATATATGGTAGTGATATACTTTACAGATTAATGCACCCAACATAGTGAGTGAAGAGTAATTGCCTTTTTAATGTTTTTGATTTAACAGTAGAGACTTCAGGAATACAGTATTTCCATTGAACATCATGGTCTGAGGAGGCAGACCATGGTATAGTGCTGAAAATAAAGTGCATGTTTTTTTATGGAGCTCTGTGCACAGTACTTACTAATTTGCTATTTATTTTTGTCTGTCTTTCTACTTTTAATTAGTCTGTAGTTTCCACATCATTAGGAGACACTGTGAGTGAAGTATTCAAAAATTTTCATTTAGTTTTCTAATTTGAGTTTGGCATTATGAGTAGCAGAAGCATAACTTTTTTCTAAGAAATTAATCTGTGGAGCAGAATTTTAATTTTTGTCAAATAGATTCTTGCTTATTTTGTAAAATATTCAGAGAAGTATAAATGCGGCTAACATGGTTCTGAAATTTTAAAATTACATATATTTGGTTCTTCAAACATTATTCCTTGACTTTTCTGCATTTGTAGAATTTTCTCCTTTATTTCCTGAAGAATCTTTTTGCTAATGTTTAACATTTCTACTTGAGATTATATGGTTCCGTATTTTATGAACATTTATTTATTTATTTTTGTCGGTTGTGGGGCCTGAACTCTGGGCTTGGGCACTGTCCCTCAGCTCTTCAGCTCAAGGCTAGAGCTCTACCACTTGAGCCATAGCACCACTTCTGGCTTTTTCTGCTTATATGGTGCTGAAGAATCCAACACAGGGCCTCATGCATGCAAGGCAAGCGCTCTGCCACTGAGCCACCTTCCCAGCCCAATCATTTGCATTTTAAAAGGTACATCTCAGACTTTGTGTCTAGCTTATTTTTTTTAAGTGTTGTTTTAAATTAGTTATGTTTAGAATAGATACTCACCTAAAGAAAACAGACTGTACAGAGACGTGCAGGAGGCCACAGTCCTTGTTTTACTCATGTCATTGGTTGCATTGGATATAAAATTGGTACATTTTTCCTTTTTGCTCCACAAAATCTGCCTTTAGGCCACTATAGGTTTTATTAAAATGAAAATTAAGACTGGTGTAACTTCTAGTGACATTTGCCTCTTACTGTCTAATAGAATAGCTTTACAAACCAAGTGTCAGTGGCTGATGGGTATAATCCTAGTTACTTAGGAATTTGAGCTCGGAGGATTGTAGGTCAAAGCCAGCCTAAGCAGAGGCTGTGAGACTCCTATCTCCAAGCCAGAAATAGAGCTGTGGTTCAAATGGTAGAGTGGTAGCCTTGAGCATAAAGAAGCTCAGGGACAGCACCCAAGCTGTGAGTTCAAGCCTTAGGACACACAAGAGTAGCTTGTCATGGAACAGTTAATTAGTGAAGAACATTATGCATCTCGGCATAAGTAATTATAGAAATTCAATTCTTTTTCTTCACTTAAAAATTAGAGGAATAATTCATGACTAATTGGATTCTATTCATTCTGCTGCACTTAAAAAGTGTATTAAATAGGTGTTAAATTTATTTAAAATTTATTACTGTGATTTGAAAGGTGACATTATATGAAAGTCACAAATGATTTAAGGTGTATAAGCAATAGAATTTAGTATGTTTGTAATATTTGTAAACATTCACTTAAATCAGCATATATTTTGTTATTCCGTAGTTGCTTATAGTCAGTAAGTATTTGTGTAAAAACTTTTTTTGGGAGATCTTGGATTTTGTAAAATGTTTCTGTTTTCTGTTCATGTATTTTATTTCTTGAAGGTACCTTTTTATCAGATGCTTATGTTTTAGGTTGTTTATACTGTGTAAATTCTATGAGCCCATACCCTGTATTAAGCAATAATATGGTACCTGAATATTTTCATTAAATTGTCCTAGGAAACTGGGAATTTTTAGATGATAAAAATGAATTGTCATAAATGGCTTTACAGAGATTCCTAAAGATATGTAAAATGCATAAAAATACTCTCCTTTGTATTTTGTTAAACTGTACATATAATTTATCCAGAAGTTCTGATACATTATTTGGGGAAAATGCTACTTTTCAAAAAAAAACTCATTCTAATACATAATTACGTAATTATTCTCTAAAGAGATCTATTTGCTTCATGAGTTGACTTTCATGAATATTTTGGATTTTGGTACACCTTTACATGTTAGAAATCTTTGATAAATAATATTTTGACAAACTGTTTTCAGGATATTTTATGTGTTACTTAGAATTTTGTTTAAGTTTTCCAACAAACTATGTAGTGCATAGAAAGAATTACATATGTTTTGATTATTAAGCCAATAACATAGATATTTCTTTGTAGGAAAAAAGTTAATTTTGGCCTAAATAAAAATGATTAGTTTCTTTTCCCCTGTAGTTTCATTAAACTATTGAATACTGGTGAATACTATTGAATACTGTTGCCTGAAATCAAATTGAATTGACACCTGAAAAGAATTCCTGAGATATTTTTGACAAGAACTAGTTGTAAGAATTGAAATATGTCCCAGTTAAATCCCCAGATTTTAAATTAACTTGAAAATTTCTAGGAGTCTTCAGAAAGATGTTATATGCTATTTTTCCCAGTGGTTAGAGGCAAACACACAGTACCTAGTGTTTAGTGCCATGTAACTTGTGGCTAACAGAGGCTAATAACAAACCTCAGAGAAGGACTGGATGTTTCATTTTCATAGCTCCTTCCATCCTGGAATCTAAGTGGTTTGCAAACACTGCCCCCACTGAGCATAAACTCAATGAAGTGTAGTCATTTGTGAGGTAGAACATAACTGTTACTGTGCGCCAGTGCCCCACGCAGACCAGCTGCCATCAATACCAACAAAAGGGGGTGCCTGTGTGACAGCTGGGGGGAAGGCGCATCCCCAAACCAGCTTCCCTGGGGTCTCCTGCTGTATCGTATGGTGATTCAGTTGGATAGTTGCCCAATTATTGCTGTATTTATATCTTTTTTCATTAGTGTCTCCTGTAGGTTGTACTTACATAGCAAGTTACTATGTTATGACTGTTGTATAACTAGTATGGATTATAGATCTAGATAACTACAAACTAATAGTTGGTTTCTTTTTCAGGTCAGTGTGAAAAAAATATCCTGCATTTTTGGAAATGAGGGAGCCTTTCATTTTTGAGGTTAAATAATGTGTGTACTGTGTTTGGCATCCATTAAATTGTGGAATGAAATCTATGTAATATTTTATCTTTAAAATTGTGATGTGTTGCCACTGGTGTTTTTAATTCAAGACTGTTCTTAACTGTTACTTTGAGAATAGTATCCATTTGATACTTTTATATATGATGATAAGCCAGATGCCTATACTCCTAGCTACTCAGGAAGCTGAGACCTAAGGATCGCGGGTTGAAGCCAGCCCTGATGGAAAAGTCTATGAGCCTCTCACCTCCAATAACCACCAGAAAACTGGAAGTGGCACTATAGCTCATAGTGGTAGAGCACTAGCCTTGAGCAAAAAAGCTCCAGGGATAGCACTCAGGCCCTGGGTTCAAGCCCTACCACCAACAGAAAAAAAGGATAGCTGAAACAAAATGCCATATAAAGTAAACTTATTTAATATATGTAATATATGCAAGTCTTAATTTATGGAAAGAGGGGTACTAATACCTTCTTAGAATTAGATAATGTGTAGTTAATGCATAAAAATTAGAGGAGTGTTTTTGTAGAAGAATTAAATGTGAAATCTGATTTCCAAAAGCCATGTAAAAGTGGAAGAAGAGAACAAGTTGGAAGCTAAATTGAAGGGAGAAAACACAGTTGTGTTGCGATGAAGACACAGGAAAAAAAATAAAGGGCATATTAATGGGTGGAAACCCGAGGTGACAGACATGAGCCATATGGGGGGAAGGTTACATGTTATAAGGCTGGAAAGATTAGATCTCTCAGTCCCCAAGAAGATTGCTTTCAGGCTTCCGTTGCAGTTATGTGTTACGTCTAACCAAGTGGTTGTACTTGTTTGTGGCCAGCTAAGGCTTTGCTACATCTCACATATTTTGATAGGTCATGTATTTATTAGTTAAAAAAAGTAATTCTGTCTTATGCCTTCTTAGAAATCCTTGTGTTATTTAGAAGTATGTTGTTTAGTACCAAAATTCATTTTGGGCTTTATAAGCTACCTATGTAAATTGATTTCTAGTTTTATTATAGTTTGAGAGGGTACTTTGTACAATTTCCAGTTTTGTAAGTTTGTTAGCTTTTAGGACTAGAATATAGTCTATTTTGGTAAATACTCCATGAGAACTTGAGAAGTTTTTTGATGTTGGAGGAAATAAAGTTGATGGTTACTTTTGTTTGAATTTGCTATGTACTGTTTGCTTGGTGTGCCAGTTAATGAACAAAAGGGGTTAAACCTTTCAGTTACAGCAGTTCTGAATTTGGAATTCCTTGCAGTTCTATCCATTTTGGCCTCATATGTTTTAAGCTCCGCTTTTGGGTACATATACATTGAGGATTATTATGTATTCTTGCATAATTGATCTCTTTCTCATTATGCCAATCTTTATAATTGATATTTCTCCTTATTCTAAAGTTAATATGGCTGCTTCAAGCTTTCTTTTGATTTGTATTTCTGATACGTATTAATTTTCTTGATGATTAATGATAAGCATTTTTAATCTATCCATTGATCATTTATATGCCTTTTGAGAAATGCCTGTTCAAGTTCCTTGTCCAGTTTTAATTTTGTCATACTATTGAGTTGTTTGTTTTTTTATATTTTGAACATCAGCCCCTGAGTGGATATTTTACTTGTAGATATTTTCTCCCAATTTGTAAGTTACCTCATCAAATAGTGTTTTCTCTTCTACATAGATGCCTTTTTGTTTGATGTAATCCTATTTGTCTACTTTTGCTTTTGTTTCTTGTGCTTTTGGAGTCAAATCCAAATCAGCTGTTGCCCAGACTAAACTTATGCAGCTGTAGTTCCTCCTGGTAGTTTTAAAATTTCAGGTCTCATGTTTTAGTATTTTTTTTTCCTTTGCCAGTCCCAGGGCCTGGGCATTGACCCTGAGCTCCTTTTGCTCAAGGCTAGTGCTCTACCACTTGAGCTACATCTCCATTTATAGCTGTGATTAATTACCCAGGCTGGCTTTGAACCTCGATCCTCAGATCTCAGTCTCCTGAGTAGCTAGGATTACTGGCATGTGCCACTAGTGCCTGGCTATCCCCTATTTTTTATATCAGTCCTGAATGACTCAGAACAACTTGCAGGAAATTACTATTTCAGTTGCAGCTATTTAACTTTGCAGTTTAGCACAAATGTAACCATTGATAATGTTTAAGCAAGTGATTACAACTGTGTTTTAATAATAGCTTAATCATAAATACATATGGGCTGGGTTTAAAGGCCACAGTATCCTAATCTCTTTTTTAGATCAATAGCTTTGAAGTTTTATTCTATATCACTAGTGTAGCATTGGTCATTAGTAGATGGGTGACTGTGTTCTGTTTATGTGTATCTTATCATATTTATGTATTACTTTACCTGAAGATAAAAGTTTCATGTGTTAATCAGAATGATTCCAAACATTTTAAGGCAATATGGGTCTACATTCTATTTAACAAGCGTAAAATCTGTCTTCCAATGGTCATGAAAATGTGATTCCTGTTTTCTAAGAATAATAAAGGATCCTGTGCTATTTTATAATATATTAATTTAAAGTCATTGTTTTAAAAAAGTGAGATAATAGAACATTGTCCAGGACTGCTATCTAAGAGAGCTCTTTTCAATGAAAAGTTATGTAGTATCACCTATAGCAACTGTAGGTGGGGTTAGTAAATTGAGAATGAATCTTTCTCAGAGATCAGTTTTGGAGCTTTATTAAAGAAAGTGCAATTATTCTCCTTATTTCATATAATTCTTGATTGAGCATCTTGGGTAAATGTCTAAGTTACCAGAGTGAATCAGACAAGTGATTTTGTATAAAAATTAATGAATATTTATGTTGAGAGGTTCTTAAGAGACCATCACATTCAAAAGATTTTAGAAACAAGAAACTTGAGGCCAAGAAAAGCTAGATGACTTAGGGTCATTGTAGTATGTTACTTCCAGCTTGTTCTAGCTTCAGAGAATCAACTGCTAAATTTTCCAACAATTCAATGATTAAATATATTCAATTAAAATTTTATGTAAGCTCAAAAATTTTGTAGAAATAAAGATATTATGTGTCCAAAATACATTACTTTGTAATTAATACTGTTTATTTCTGCTATACACTTGGTGTATCTGTATGTTAGAAATGATAACTTATGGTGTCTTCCCCAGTTTTATGATAGCTAAATATGAGAACAGAGTACTCATGCTGTGAAAATGGCGAATGATAGTTCCAACACCATTCCCACTGAACCTTGAGCCAGTTGATTAGTACTTACCAGCTCGTTAATGGGGATGACCAGTGTTTTATGATATTTATTTATTTATTTATTTGTCTGGTTTTGCTAGGATTGTAAGTCTTTTGAGATTTAGAACTTTTTTCTTTTTTTAAAAAATTATTATGAACAGAGGGATTATAGTTACATAGAAAGGTAATAAGTACATTAGAGTTACTTAAGAAAGGTAATAAATACATTTCTTTTTGAACACTGTTACCTCCTCCCTCATATTCTCTCATTTTCCCGTTCCCACTTCCCTGTTTCCCCAAGTTGTAAAGTTCATTTCCAATATAGTGACTAGTGAGTATCATTGTTGCCATAGTTCATCCTTTGTCCTGCTGTTTCTGTGATTTCCTTTCCCTTCTGTGGATCAGATAAACTTATATGCATGAGAAAAGGTACAAAGGGTACAGAAAACTAAAAAACAAAACAAAAACAAATCCCAAGACTGCAAATAGTACATAATAAAACCTTGTTTCCAATTCTTGGAGTTCATTTTGATATGCTTCATTTTATATATATAGTCATATGTACCTAGTGATTCGGCTATTGCGATCCTCTGCTAAAAATATCATAGATATATTCTAGTTTTTACAAATGAGGGAAACCATGCAATTTACATTTCTTTGGGATGGTTGCTTCACTTAATATTTTTTTTCTAACAAGTGGGCTAAAGAATTAAAGAGAGACTTCTCTGAAGAGGAAATAAGAATGGCCAATAGACACATGAAGAAATACTCAACATCCCTGGCCATAAAAAAAAATGCAAATCAAAACAACATTGAAATTCTACCTCACCCCAGTTTGAATGGCTATAATCAAGAACTCTAATAACTACAGCTGCTGGAGGGGATGTGGCCAAATGGGAACACTACTGCACTGTTGGTGGGAGTGTAAACTTGTTCAAACACTCTGGAATGCAGTATGGAGGTTCCTCAAAAGACTACACATAGAGCTCCTCTATGACCCAGCAATCCCACTCCTGAGCAGTTATCCAAATGACCACAAACAAGGCCATGCTAAAGCTACCAGCACAACCATGTTCACTGCAGCATTATTTACTATAGCTAAGCTATGGAACCAACTCAGATGCCCCTCAGTAGATGAATGGATCAAAAAAATGTGGTATATATACACAGTGGAGTTCTAAAAAGTCCATCACAAAGAATGTGGTTTAATTAGAACTTCCATCCCTAGCATCTAACACAGTGCATGTTGTGTAGTTGGCAGAGACCTTTTTAGTTATGTAGTCTGTTACTCAAGTCCTGGATCAATCACTTATCCATCTGTGTAACTTCAGCTGTTATAACTTTTTTTTGCAGGGGGGGGGCAGTACTGGGTCTTAAACTTAGGACCTTGCATATGAAGATGCTAAGCCTTCAACTGTTACCACTTTTTCAGTAAGATGGAAATAATTATGCCAGCCTCTTGTGAATGTTAGGAGAATAAGTGAAACAACCTAGATATGTGTTTGATACATAGAGGTACAGAAATAGTTGATTATTATTACAACCTAAGCAGTAGAAGTAAATGTTATTATAGTCCAGACTTACACTATATCTCAAACTCTGTATTGTCTGATCCTAAACTGTATGAGAATCAAGAATGTAGTACTTTTATTTTTCTGTATGCATCTATTTCTCATTCTTTCCCCACAAAATAATGGGATAAATTAAAAGTAATATGATATATAAGAGGCAGGAAGCAATCCTTTTGTTATATTTGGCTTTGCTCGCACTCTTATTATGGTATCATGTCCAGTTTTACATTGCTCATTTTAAAGAGGATGTCAGAAAACTATATGTACTGTGTCTTGAGAAGAATCAACAACTATGATTAAAGGAGAGAAAATAGCTCCTTTGAGACAAGTTTAAGAAATTGAGTTTGTTTACTCTGGAAAGCAGACGGTAAGGGAGTTACTTAACTATCTTCAAGAATATGAAGGGTTATAATAAGACGAACAGTCTCAAGTTCTCCAAATGCACCGAGCATCAAAGAAGGAAGCTAATGTTTCATTAAAAAAATTGTGTGAAACACTGAAATTGTCAAGGATGTCAAGGAATATCCATTTTGGTAAAGTATTTTAAAAGATTAACAGCAGATGGTTCATTACTAAAAAGTTTAATGTTTGACCTTGAGTAAGAGGCAGGATTATAGACCTTTTAGCTTTCTTTTCAGAAGTCATTGAGAAACCACTTGGGATTCTGATAAAATTTTATCTTAGCTTGCATTTGCATTTTAATTGCTAGATTTACTGTGAATGTAGACATTCCACATTATCTGCTAGAAACTTAATTTAAATTGAAACCAATCTGCATATAAAACATTTCCCTTTGTACTGTTGTGCTGCTTGACCTGTCTGAAGCTCTGCTAAAGAGTATTATTAGTATCTTTTCAAATAATACTTGACAGATATTTCATAACTCTTTCGTGACAGGGGATCCTCTTGGTATATGATATCACAAATTATCAAAGCTTTGAGAATTTAGAAGATTGGTATACCGTGGTGAAGAAAGTGAGTGAAGAGTCAGAAACTCATCCACTGGTGGCTTTGGTGGGCAATAAAAGTAAGTCATCATTACTTATTTGTGTATGGTAAAGGTTATTTGCTTCTATGGACTGCACGTTTGTGTCTACCCGCTAATTCATATGTTGAAGTTGGAATCCCCAATATGATGGCTATTATTGGTGGTTGTTTTGGGGGAGACCTCTTGAGTGGAATTACTGGTAAGACACAGAGAGAGAGATAATATCTTTTTCTGTCAAGGAGGCACACAAGGTGGTCATTTTCATACAGGAAAAGGTTATCACAGACATCAGTCTACCAGCACCTTAATCTTGGACTTCTCAGTCTCTGGAACTGTGAGAAATAATTTTGTTGTGTAGTATACAAGTCTGTGGTGTTATAGTGTTCTGCACTGAAAACATTTGTAGACATTTGTAGATTATATTCCCAAGAAAACAGGTTTGATATTTGGAAACAGCCTTTTTGGAAGTGAGCAGAAAAACTCGAAGGGTGTGAATAATCTTGTTAAGGACTGTTTCCCCCTTACAAATGATATCTATTCTTTGAAATTCACAGTACACCATTTTAGTATACATCACCTTCTGAGAACATCTTTTAAACATGTGAATTAAACCCCCATTTCAGGCATTACAGTATGGTAAAGACCTACCTTCACTGAATTTGTACTGTTCAATAACTGTTTTGATGCTTACTCTGTCGTATTTTCTCTGCTGCTTTTGGCCAATTCCTGTGAAGGTAAGTTCAGTTCTGACAGTGTGTGTTTTGGCTTCCTGTGGTCTTGAGGAAGCAGCATGGACTATTAACAGCAACACAGCTGTAGATTTATGATACTACATTGAAACTTCAGCTCTGTCCCACAAGTTTTGAGGTGAGATGTATTTTATTAAATGATCCATTTTTGAGAAGGAAGCAGTGTCTGCATGGAAATCTGTATCCATTGTTTCATGCTACTATCTTATAAGCTTTGTTTTCTGAATTTTTGAGGTTTGCTGTAAAACATGGATAATTTTGCTTTGAGAAGGTATATTGTATTGGGGGGATGAACAGTCCTTGATAAAAATGATGGGTAGTTAGTTTTTGAGATCTATTTCTTGAGCTATGGTAGAGAGTATATAAAAACCATAAAACTGAATTCTGTACTAGAATACTATTTGGTACAGTAATCTGGAGCAGGTATTAGTAAAGATGCTCAATATTTGGAGATATAATGTGCCCTGACAGTCTTTATAATATTAGGAGTCACAAAGATAAATTAAATTCAGATTATACCATAGAGGATGTATGTATGTATGTATGTATGTATATATATACGTTGGTGGAAGGGTTTGAATTCAAGGTCTGTATGCCATCCCTGAGTTTTTCTGCTCAAAGCTAGCACTCTGCCACTTTGAGCTACCACTCCACTTCCAGTTTTCTGGTGGTTAATTGGAGATAAGAGTCTCACAGACTTTCCTCCCTGGGCTGGCTTCAAACCTTGATCCTCAGATCTCAGCCTCCTGAGCAGCTAGGATTACAGGCATAAGCCACTGGTGCATGGCTACATAGATGATTAGATCATGAAGTTTTTTCTGACTACAAGGCTTGTTAAATCAATATCCATATATTATCCAAAATAATTATCTTCTCCAAAGATGTTGAAAAATACAGTTCATTTTTCTCTACTATGTTTGGGAAAGTTTTCTGAAGGGAAAACCAAGATTTATGCATTATGTGATTTTTACACACTTAGGTGAGCATTAGTAAATCTAAGTCTTAATTTAAAACCATTGCAAAACAGGTGTGAATACTATTTCTTCAGAGAATCAAAAATACTAACGTCATTTATTTTCTAGAGAACAGTATTATATATTACAAAATAATATGATGTGGGTAGAAATTATAGTGTTTTATAGTTTTGCTAAATTTTCTTCATGTGTTTTGTAAGTAATTATCTTTGAGTGAAGCAGCTGCTTTTTAGTTCATTGAAATATTTAGAAATGACAGGTTCTGATGAGTTTAGGTTCTGTGTGCAGCTTCACATTTCAGGGGATAACTTCTTAGTCAGTTATCATATTATCAAAGCACTGACTTACAGTAAAATTTATGTTTTATTGGAGGGTTCCAGTCACCTGAAGGGGACTAATAGAGGCAGGCAGCAGAGGAATTGAGATTTATTTTCCTCTTTTCAGAATATACTCTAACCACCATCTGAGATAATAGTTCTAGTGGTACTTAAGTTATATATTCAAGTTATTTGAATTTTGCAGAAAAATAATAGTGCTGTGTTTGAAAATTAGGATAAAAGTCATGTTTTATCACTTTTTTTTTTAGTTTCTTGTTGATTGCTGACTTTTTTTTTTAATTGTGAAAATACCTTACAGAGGGGTTACAATTACATGGGCAAGGTAATGAGTACATTTCTTATCAAGCATTGTTGCCTCCTCCTTTGTTTCCCCTTCCCATCCCTTCCCATCTCCCCCCCCCCCAAAGTTGTAAAGTTTGTTTTTCAACATAACGACTTGTACATCTTATTGTTGCAATAGGTCCACCTGTATCCTTATTTAAACGATTTGTCTCTGGCCCAATTTCATGTCATCATGTAATGAGAGATCCGTCTTCAGTTAAGCTTATTAAGGCTTTAACTCTGAGTCTCCTGAGTACTTTACAACTTCGGTTTCCAAACTGATGTTATAATAGTAGAACTACACATTCTTTTTTTTTTTTAAGGGATGATGTAATTTAATTAAAAAGCAATAACATTCTCTAAGACTTGAAATTGGCAAAGCAAGAGATACAAGATAGTAGGACACCGGAAGGTAGATTATTATCTAACTGCTGATTATCTAAATGAGGCCATCTTCTGTTTAGATGTGGTTTTAAATTCATCATTGTGTTTTATTCTTTGCAACTTAACTCGAAGGCATATATTGAAAGGAGTATATATACTCTGAAAACACTAATAGTAGTACCTCAAGTGTTAGTTAGTAGGAAAGTGTATGTGTGAATTTGTTGTGAACTCTGACTTTAAAATTGGTAAGTTATAAGGTCACTTGCTTTTTATTAAAAATATTAAACGCAAGAAATTTGGCCTACAAATAGTGGATAGTTGGATACAAAGGTGAATTGTGGATTATGTTTAAATAGCAATAAGAACTAGAGTAAATTACTGAAGTGGCCAGTAGATGAAGATACTTGATTTAATAGCCTGGACACAATGTTTGATAATTAGAGCATTCATTATTTCAGTATATAATGATTAAATGTGTTCAGCAGTTGAAACTGTTTTAGCCTACATTCTGTTTTGAAAATACCACTGAGTGGTATTTCTTTTTACAACTGAAGGTATTAAATAAAGTACTGAATAGTAGTTCAGATCATGGACTCTGGATTGAGAGATACTTCATTTATTAATGTAGTTTTTTCACTTAACAGTTCTGGAGTTTGGACTTAGGACCTTGAGCTTGCTAGGCTAGTACTACTGCTGAATCATGCCTCGACCCCTTTTTGTACTTATTTTGAGATGGAGTCTTGCTTCTTGTCTGGATTGTAATGTGCCTTTTTTAGGTTTTCTGTTACAGCTGCGATGACAGGTACAGGTAACCACACTAAACTTACTTTACTGGGATAGTATCTGTGAACTTTCTGTCCAGGCTGGCCCAGAACTATCATCTTCCCTATCTCAACCTCCATGCCCAGCTATTGATTGAAAAAGGATCTCTTGAACCGAAGGTATATGGACTGTATGAGATGGTCTTCAGGGCCAGCTGTTCTACTAAAGTCTACTCTGGTGAATAATGTCAGTGGGGATTTTCTTAGGATCGACGTCATAGTTATATTAATGCTAGATCATTTTGGAATAAACAGCATAGATTTCATGTCATGTTTTCAGTTAAATAAATAGAAAAGATTTATGAAGTTTACTTTTTCTCCTACTTGTATCTTTTCTATATTATAAGGGTACATTTTCTATATTTACAATGTTTTAATTTTTATGTTTAATTAAAATCTTATGATTCACAGCTAAGGATAGTTTTAATTGTTCTTTAGTGTTTCAAATGAAAATTTAGAAATGTTAAATTTTTAAAGATAAATATTAAATTCACTGTGTTTTATAACCACATGGTATTTTAATTTATCATTTTGTTGTTTTCTATCTTTAATCTGTTAGACTTTTCTACTATCTGATCCATCAGCTGGTTTCTTCTTTGACTCACTAACATTCTTAGTTGGATAGATTATAAACAGAATTAACAGGGGTTGCATAGGAGCTGCCCTGGTCCTGATTTATAGCTTCTTAGTTAGTGGAGGGGTAGTGGTTATCAGTAACTTGCATTGGGGGTAGGAATTATCATGCTTCACTATAGAGTGGATGGATGAATGATTTCTGCTCTTAAAGATATTAACCAGATCCTTTCCCAAATAAAGACTAATAACTCAGATTTGTAAACAATCTTCATGACAGATGAGCGTATAGAGAAGAGTGCATCAGCACTAATTAACCATGTTGAGTGTATATTCTTCCTAGCAGTGATGGATTGTTCTTGGAGTACTATCTCTGTCCAGGAAGTGATGTTTTACATTGGGAAGTTTAAAGGTTACATTTTAATGTACCCTCTAAGTTGTGTTCCCTAAACTCTGTGGAAATCTGCAAGTAAATTTCTAGTTGAAACTTTTACTGATGGCCTCAGTAAAACTATCACAAGGCTTTTAAAGGACCAGTTTTTTTTCTTCTAGGAATAGAACAGTACAAGAAGAGGTTATATGTCAATTTTGAAAGCAACAAATTTGCATAACTATCTATACAGAGAGTCTGAATCTTCAACAATTCTTATTTTATCTAGAGAGTAGAAGTGTGAAACAATTAAGTAGGTTACATTTCTTATCAAAAGATTTATATCAGCTCCCATAAAATGTATCACATACGAGAGTGGACTATAATTTATAAAACATGAACAATTATTTGAGGATTTGGAAAATTTATTCTCTTTATACATTATAAACCAAAGCATTTTTTCCCTTCCCTTATTTCTTAGAATGCTTTTCTTCTTATTTGCTTATTTT